GTAATTAGGGCCACGGACAGAATCCTGACACCCTCCAGGAAGCTGTTGCTAGGACTTAACACCACCTTTAGTAACGGACCAGAAAGTCCTATTTACATACCTGGTTGGTGTCTCAAGTTTGGCCAGTCAGAGGACGGCCGTCCCACCTGCATCAAACCAGCACAGCTTTTGAAAAGCCCACCTGGATGCCAGCAAAGCCTCCTTGGCCTTCCAGACCTTGAACTCTACATCTTGGAGGGTTTTTTTGAGTCTTCCCCGCTTTTCCCAAAGGTACTTTTGGTTTCAGAAGGCCACTGGACTTTCTTGCGTTTACTTTGAAGGCGTTTCGTTTCTCATCCAAGAAGCTACAAGTTTCCGTTTTTTGGATGAGAAGTGAAACACCTTCAAAGAAAAAAAAACAAACCAAGGAAGTCCAGCGCCCTCTTGACTTGAGCTGGATGACTTGAGAACCTCCACTGACATTCCCCCCACCCACCCACCTCATTTCCCTTTCCCCACCTAGGTCACTGGCTTAGATGGAAACTACCGGATCACCTGCCACACCGTGATGGAAGTCTTGCGAGAGCACAAAGACAGCGTCATGGCCGTATTAGAAGCCTTCGTATACGACCCCCTGCTCAACTGGAGGCTGATGGACAGTAGGTTGGCCGGACTGTGGCTGCACACCTGAACCGCCTCTCTCTCCCTCAGGCGGTATCCCCCCAAATCAGATCACAGAATACAGATTAAGTCTAAAAATCTAAGTTACTTGACTCGCCCAGTTTTTAAAAAGGCATAAGCTTTTGTGAGTTGCACCTCACATGGGAGATGCAGCTTAGGAGAACTCCTGCTTTCTAGTAGCAATGGGCCCTTAGACTTATATGCCACTTCAGAGTGCTTTCACAGCCCCCTCTAACCTGCTTACAGTGTCAGCCTGTGACCCCCCCAAACAATCTGGGTCCTCCTAATCAATTCTGTCGATTGGAAAAGGGGGGGTTGGTTGCCTGATTCCTGAATTGGCTAGCGTAGAACTAACACGGCCCTCTTTCTTACGAAGCCAGTTCCTGTAAAATATCTGATATTCTAGGCTCTTGTTTAATGACAGCTAGTCCTCAACTTACAAGCACACTTGAGCCTTCCCCCCCCCCCAAAAAAAAATTTCTGTTGTTAAGTGAGACATTTGTTAAATGAGTTTTGCCCCATTTGGGGGATCTTTCTTGCCAGCTTTGTTAAGGGAACCCATTGCGGTTGTTAAGATAGCAACCCAGTTGTTCAGTGAATCTGACTTCCCCCATTGACTTGGCTTTGTCAGAAAGTTGCAAAAAGGGGATCACGTGACTCCGGACACTGCGACCATCGTAAATGTGAGTCAGTTGTCACGCATCCAAATGTAAATCACGTGACTATAAGGCCATACGTGTGAAAAATGGTCATAAGTCACTCTTTTCAGTGTCGTCGTAACTTTGAAGTGAACTGTTGCGAGTTGAGGACTACCTGTATACGGGGTATTTAGGTAAAAGAAACAAAAAAGCTTGTTAGGATTTCCATCAGAGGTCTCCAAACTTGGCCGCTTTTAAGACTTGTGGACTTCAACTCGCAGAATTCTCCAGCCAGCCATGTCTGTTTCTTTTCTCTCTTAACCTCCTAAAGTGGAGAGAGATTGCGAGAGGAAGGGATTGCAAGAGAGCAAACTCTGCTGGCTGGGGAGAATTCTGGGAGTTGAAGTCCACCAGTCTCCAGAAGTGGCCAAGTTTGGGGGGGGACTCCTGATTTACAACAATGCTTCTCTCCAGAACTAGTTGGCTCTTCCGATAAGAGAGGTTGCTTTTACACACTGCCTGTCATATTGAGGTGGGACAGACGTGGGGGAAGGCAACCTGGAATGACTCCACTTCCTTTCTTTGCAGCAAACACCAAAGGTAATAAGCGATCTCGGACCCGGACAGATTCGTACTCTGCTGGCCAGTCAGTCGGTGAGCAGGGACCAAGGCGTCCTCTGTTTTTCTCTACGTTGTGTTGAATGGGCACAATATTTCAGTTAGCTCTCCTTCCTCTTAATTTGGATTAAGCCGCGGCCAGAGGAAAGCGCGCACGAACAAAGGAGCCAAGATTTCCTTGCAAAGCTCTTCTTTTGACCCCTTGACCTTTTAATCTCCGTTGAAGGGGGAGGGAGGGCAGCCCCTCCAGAGCCCCATGGAAGCTTTCTCAGTTGCAGGTGAACAGGGGGCTAGACCACATTATTCCCCCCCAAATAACCTCCGCTTTACCCTCTTGGAACAGTGTCTAGTACCTTCATTCTCTCTCTTCCCTCCCCAAGCAGCCTATCTCTCTTTGCCTGCTTGAATAATGTAGCGCAAGGAAAGTAAGGTGCAGAATATTTTGTCTTTCTCTAACCACTTTCCTCCTTTTTAAAGAAATGCTGGACAGCGTGGAACTGGGTGAAACAGCCCACAAGAAAGCTGGAACAACAGTCCCCGAATCCATCCATTCCTTCAGTAAGTTAGAGGGCCTCTTTTTTTTTTTCTCCTGTCCGAGTTCCAGACTTTCTTTTTTTTTTTTAATAGCTTCATGTCTCTAAAATTGACGTTCTGCTTCAAAATGCGCAACCCAAAACAACGTATTAATAATAAGATGAGTGGTCCCATTCATGAGGGGTCCAATTACCCCTTTATAAAGTTGTTCTGCGTTAAGGGCAGAACGTTTCATGGTGCCGGGTTCCTCATTCCATCTTGCATGGAAAAGTATCTTATTCTGTCCTCAATGTACTGTCGTAGTTCCTTTGTAATGATGATTTAACAGCTGACCGATTGCTCTAGTGTTGTAACGATGATGCAATGGTAGCAATGAGTCAGCAGCTTTATTTGACGACTACCACTTTAAGAGGCTGTAATATAAGTGAGACCCTGTGAGGGCGTATCTCTCTCTCTCCATGTGTGCTTCCGTGTTGTAGCTGATTATTGATTGTTCAAGGCCTGTATCAAAGTACTTGTATGGATGTAGGTTTGTAAGGATAAAACCACTATATGCAAATAGAAACCTGTGTACTTGCATTCGCTCCTGGGTTATATCACCTAGTCACGCTCTGTGTGCGCTCTGACATCCTTCGAGTAAATTAATGTTATAAGAAGAAACTGTGTTATTGTAGTCACAATCACGACCTTCCCTTGATCCACTTTGGCCCGCAATTTGAAAGCCTCAAGGATCCCCAACCTTTCCTTTCAGAGATCATTCTCTAATTCCTCTTTGCTTTGTTAATATACAAGGTTGGGATGTTCAGATGTTCGGACCAAGGAGCCTGTTATGGATAGGATCATTTCCCCCTTTAATCAGACTCCAAAAAAACCCTGACTTTTAAGGAGTCTAGCCAGGATGCAAACAAATAGCTGCGGGTGGATTGCTCAGAATCTTCCAATTGAACTGTGGCTCACTTTTTCTTTTCAGTTGGCGACGGCCTTGTGAAACCAGAAGCCCTAAACAAGAAGGCCATTCAGATTATCAACAGAGTCCGGGATAAACTCACAGGTGAGTTAAGTCACCTGTGCCTCACTTGGAGTGGACCCTGTCACAAAGAATTTGCAGTCTTTAGCTATGGGGGGCGGGGGGGAATGATAGTGAAAAGAAGCCATAAATAGTTGCACTTAGATGATGTGAAGATCAGAAGAGAAAATGACGGAGTCTGTCAAGACTTGATGGGCAGAGGTTGAATTCTAAGCACTCACATCCAGCAAGTGCAAAAAAAAATAAAAAATAAAAATCCTTCATCCAGAAGAGGAAGATGGAATAGTTCCACTGGTTAGTCTTTGTGCTGGTTGCGTCGTCTTGCTGGGAAAGCCCGTGTTCTCTAACAAACCACCCCACCCCTCTTGTTCTTCCCTTGCCAAGGACGCGACTTCTCCCATGACGAAACCCTGGACGTGCCCACCCAGGTGGAGCTGCTCATTAAGCAGGCCACGTCCCACGAGAACCTTTGCCAGTGCTACATCGGATGGTGAGTGTGGTGTGTGTGAGCTTTTCAGCCCACCCTGTGGCTGGCCCACTGAAGACGATCGAACTGGCAACCGTGACGGGTGGTATACGATAAGACCGGGGTGTCCAACTCGATTTCATGGAAGGCCGCACCGGGATTGTATTTTACCTCGGAGGGCCAGAGTGGGCGTGGCCAGAGGGGGTGTGGCCCGCTCGACATCCCTCGTGTCAGGGGTGCTCCGAGCCCTCGGCCAGACAAAACAGGCTCCTGAGCTCCGTTTTCGGCTGCAACGGCCTCCTGTAAGTAACCCTCTGCCAATGAAAACGGAGCTCAAGAGGTCTGTGGGCAGCCCACCCGAGTTCTGTTTCGGCTGGCAGAGGCACCGCAGGCCAGTCTTTCGCCGTTTCCACTCTTTTTGCCGTTTTCTTCTCCTTCCCCTCCCTTTCCTGTCCCTTCCTCTCCTTTCCTTTCCTTTTCCCACTTACACCATAAAACCTTCCTCCCAAATCCCCAGAGAAAGCTCAGTTGGACTTCCAAAGCAAAGGTGTCGGGGCTCCCAGCCAGGTTGTTTGACGATGCTCTCTTCTCCTCCAGGTGCCCTTTCTGGTAACCGAAGACCCGCGTCCAACCCTTGTCCTGGCTCCCCCTCTAGGTTCCCCCACGGGACTCTTTCCTGGAAGCGGCGGGGAGGAAGGATGGACGCCGGCTTGAGGGTGAAAGGAAAACAGTTTGTTTTTTTTCTCAAAGTTTGGGGGTTGTGGAGGAAGCGGGGGGAAAAAAGGAAGTCTTTTTTTTACAAGGCACAACCTCCAAAACACGGCTAGGTAATGCAGTCCAGCCATTTCTGGGCCCCAAATCACCTTGTTTTTGGTGTGGGAAAGTAGAAGAATGCCTACAAATCAGCCATTAATTCCCCCTGACTGGCCAATACAGTAGGCCAAGCCAGGCTGAAGTTGAAATTGGTGAAGCCACAACCGGAGCGTGTTTTCAAGATTGCACGGAATGGCAATTGTCGTCGCAGCCATGAGCCGGCGCGAATAGGGGCCCTTGCAGAAGGTTTTATTATCCAGGCCGTTGTGTCACAACATAGCAGGGACAATAAAGTACTTAACACAGAACGTTACAACATTTTTGCAAAGACGGTGGAAGAAAAAAACAGACCCTTTTGGAGGGGAAAAAAAAAAAAGAATTTGTTCCACCTGTTCCCCACTATTTTTGCTTGTGTTCTTACTCCTTGTGCACTTGGGGTGGGTGGGGCAGAGCAAAACGTTAACGGTGAAGCGTTCGAAAGCTTTGGAGGCAGTAGTTTTCCCGACGGTAGACATTGCAAGCCAACTGCACAAATGGTTTTTGTGTTTCGATGCCTCGTGGTAGTCTAATATATATATATTTATATATATATATATATATTGTGGCGCCCAATAAAGTCCATCCTGTCGTACGGTCTGGATTCTGGGCGTGCTTTCTTTTAAAAAATGCCCTTTATTGCAGAGGGAAGGAGAAGGAAATAGCTACCTCTGGGCCACTTCACCCTGTTTCTGGTACCACTACTTCACTTTTAATTTTTCTTGGGGTGCGGGGGGAGAGGAAAAGGTTTGCAAGAACTTGCCTCTGGGCCTGCTCTGTCGTAGGCGGCTTCAGAAGAGCAGAGGCTGTTTGAACCCTGGTCAGTGGTAAGCACCCAATTTGCACTTTGGCGCAAGTGACCAATGGACGTAGTTCCCCCGGCAGGGACATTGGCCGAAGTGACAGTGTCTAATGTCTCGGCCGTGTCTGTGGTGCATGGTTTTGTCTAGGGAAAACGGTCCAATGGTGACGCTCGTTTTGGTAATCCTCATCCTTTGGGACTTCCCCCTCTCTTTGGCCATCTTCAAGCACTTCATTAGTTTGGTGCCACAGCTCGATTGCTGCCAGTTGAAATGCTGGCCTTGGTGCTGGAAGAAGATGTGACGGATTCCCGGAGGGACGTTGTGGAAAGCGTGCGAGGCCTGCCCCAAAGAGAAAGGAGAGAGAGAGAGAGAGAGAAGGCAGGGGAGCCAAGGGGAGTTGGCGTGGAGACTAACCTCAGCCCTGGGGTGGGGAAGAGGACAGCCATTCCCCTCCTCTTACCTGGCGCCATTCGTCGTTGTACTCCGAGTCGTATTTGTATTTATCCCCGGAGTCATACTCCCGGATGACCTGGAAATCCTCGGACAACAGCTTCACACACAACTTGTAATGGCTGTTGAAGCTGCTAAAAAACCTGTGGTGGAGGAAAGCAGAGAGAAAAGGTTGGAACCCAGCACGTCCTTGTCTCGGGATGGCCGGGCAAGCCACGGGCAAGAGCTTTCCGGAAGAGAAGCAGCTTGGAGACCGAACAATACAATGGAGAAGAGTTCCTGCGCCAATTCTGACCACCCTTCCTGGTCTCCAACCCCTCCAACCATTTGACTTGATTATGGAATAGCAATAACCCTTTACGCTTATATACCGCTTCACAGTGCTTTGCAGCGCTCTCTAAGTGATTTACAGAGTCAGCCTCTTGCCCCCAACCATTTGGGTCCTCATTTTACTGACCTCGGAAGGATGGGAGGCTTAGTCAACCTTGAGCCGGTCAGGACCGAACTCCTGGCTGTGGGCAGAGTCAGTTTGCAATATATGTAGTCCTCAAGCGCGCGCTCGCAGAACCGGTTGTCAAACCGGTTGCAGCCAACCTCTGTTCAGATCTTGCTGCAGGTAATTTGCTTATGAATAGAGCTCTCTCTCTCTCTATCTCTTAAGTGCTGACCTCTGCTTAAGGGGCTATTAAGGAAGGTGGGGGCTGCTTTCCAAGAGCATGTTTCTCCCATTTCTCATCCACAGCAATATAATAATCTGCCTTTTTTAAAATATTTCTCAAAATATGCCACTCTTTTAGGAGAAGGGTGGGCGCTAACTTTCTACAGGTTGACTTCTAGATATGAATCTTTAAAAGCCACCAGATCACTAGAGGTTCAAGCAACCCTGCACCTGTGCAATTAGCAGCCAGAGAGGGCTTGGGTTAAAGCTTAACCTGGATCAAGCCATTTGTTGCCTCAGCTTTGCAGAGCTGGCCTCGCAGCCTTAGATCTAAGCCGGGAAGCTACCTCAAACCCATCTCTCTCAAGACTTAACGTCTGGTTGCATACGTTTCCTGCACCCTCAAGCCGGGAGCTGACGTTCTGGCCCTTACCAATCCTTCACCACAATTGTGGGTCTCCCGTCATCCATCAGCTGATCCCAGTAACCTTCATCCTTCAACGTGATGAGCTGAGACTTTGTGCAGAGCCTACCGGAGAAGAAATTAACCACGATTCAGAAACACAAAGAAACTGCACTCCTGGAAGTCAGAGAGACTTATGAGACGGGGTCTTATGGGACTTTGAATACATTGGAGCAGAGGAGAACTGGGGTCTAATTGGGCGAGAGAGGTCTTTGTAAAGTTCCTAAGCACCGAACAGGACTAAAAGAGACATGGATGTATTTTCAACCGGAGCGTTTAACGAACGGGAAAAAATCGGAAGAAAGCAGACAAGCCGTTTGGGATAGAGCAGAATTCACGCTGGCCTGATTTAAATGAAATTAAATGAGACCGTCCTCCTTTGGCTCGGAAAAAAGATTTTTGTTTGAATAATCTTCAAATCAAAAATTCTGGCTCGACGGAATTAATCCGTATAAAGTGAGAGACATTTGGAGAGAAGGAAGCTAAGCTTGCCGGCAGAATGCCACCAATTCCCACGGTTATTTCCCTTTCCCGTCAATTAAATGTCGGGATAAACGTCACTATAACCCTTACCCGTTGTACGCAGCAAAGCATTTTTCAACTTCTTGATAGGGTATCCACTCGTCTTTTATATAAATATTCCTCTGAAGGAAGTCCCAGGCCTGCAGCTTTGCTGAGTCTTTTTCAAAAACATCTTTAACTTTCCACTGCCCGTTGGAGGGTGTGGCCGTATCCCAGAAGTGTAATCCCTCTGTGAAAAAGCCACAGGAAGTCAAAGGAGAAGCATCGCCACCCCTGCCCACCCAGTTCACACGTTTATTTCTCTCTAAGTTGGACTTTCTTAAAGCTGCTGCTTCCCTGAATGAGCCTCAAAACGTTGAGGTTGTGTTTACAAAGCACACCATATGTGTCCGCCCCTTCCATTAAATCCGAACCATACGGAGAAGTATTAAACAAGAGTGAACAGTCATAACAATACAGCGGTTAGTCAGCTCTTGAACTCCTGGACAGAATGAATATTATGCTTATTATTTACGCAAGGGCCTCTTGATTCATATTAGTCCCCAGGGCGATAAAAGACCCCGGTCAAAATGTAAAAGGCCTATCCTCGGTGGTAAAAATATATATCATTTATGAGCACAGCCATTGCTTTTATTTAAAATTGAATTTTCCCCCAGCCCTATGTGGACCCTAGAGGCTTCGTGGCCGCTCAGCCGCCGAGCTGTAGAAAGAGAGAGAAAGAAGGAAAGACATGACTGTAGATTCTCAGTCCTCCAGGTCATGGCTGTCCCAAAGGTGCATTTTTAAGCGGCAACGAGACTTGGTTTTTCTTTGAAGACGTTTCCCTTCTCACCCAAGAAGCTCCTTCAGCTCTGACTGGATGGTGGGGAAGGATTTATACTCCTGGCAGACAGCTGGTCATGAGACAGGGAGAGATACAACATCCTCTATCTCCTGTCTACAACAAAATCAGCAGCTCCAAGAAGGCTCCACAGCCATTTGCACCACTCGGGTGACCCCGAGGACACCGATCAACCTCCAAGTGGTCTCAACGACCCTCCGAAAAGGATGCAAATGACCAGCTGTCTGCAAGGAATATCAATCCTTCCGTTCCCCACCATCCGAGTCAGAGCTGAAGAAGCTTCCTGGATGGAAAGTGAAACATCTTCAACGAAACACAAGGAAGCCCAGTGGCCTCTTGAAAAAAGCACCTTGGGGAGAAGACAATTCCTCGGACTTTTTGCCCACCCAGGTGGCCTTTGGCCTTTTGCTAGAGCGCACCTGTCATCCCCTTGGTCTTCGCAAGCCACCTGAGACCCCAGCAAGGGTCGTTGCAAAAGCCCCTAGTTGCAGGGCGGGGGAGACTCACCTTCGCCACAAGGGTTCTTGATTAAGTTCTTCTCCAAGTGGCAGAAAATGTAGAAGGTCTTTGGCATCTTCAGGTCGGCGTCCTCTTCCTGGTACTTGCGCTTCCACAGGAAAGGGCTGTGCAGGATATCTCGCCACCGCGAGCAAACCAGCTGGCAATTCCAGATCAGCTCGTTGATCGGGAGCAGGCATAACACCGCCAGCAAAACGTCGTCGGGGAGGTCTTGAATGCTTGCCATGTTTTTGCCAAGGAGGACTAAGAGAGGGATGGGCACAGGAGGCAAGGAAACCCTTGAGTTGGGCCTGGAGAGAGCAGACGTAACGAACAATCCCCAACCAGACAGAAGTTTCTCGCGGTTCCTTCTCGGCCCTTTCAACCAGTCACCTTGATATGGTCTCTCTCCCGCTCCTATCCTTCCGCCCAACTTTCCTTTAGCCTCCCCCAAAGCTCCTTATTTCTTCTCTCCTTAGCTAACTCCCACCCATTGTTTCTTGGGGAATTTTTGGAGGATAGGTTGACCCTCCCCATCTCTTCTAGGGGTCAATCCTGAAAGCTGAGCTCTCGTCTGCAAAGGAAGAAAAGCTTGAAAGGGATATATCTCCGGGGTGGAGCCTGAGCTCTTCACTCTCGGAGATCCAAGTTCTGGGTTAAGAAGGCCCTCCCGCTTGGCTTGCCTGGTGGGAAAATCTGGTGGGAGGTGGGTAGGGGGTGTTACCTGGCTCGCAAGGAAGAGGCAGGAAAGGAACAGGTGCCCCTCCGGGCCCGTCTCACAGCAACAGGGTGTCGCAACTAAAGTGTAACTTTGCAAAGATGCGGAGGAGAGGAAAGGCGGGCTCTGCTTTGTTGTGTGAGAGGCTGGATGGGTGGGACCACAGCGGGGGCGGTGGGGAGGTGGGTGGGGAGTGGAGTGGAGTGGTAGGGGCTCGAGCCTGTCAGGCGAGAGGCTCCTGCTCGCTCAAGTGACGCATGCCCGTCTCCCGTCCTGGTCCAAAAGCTTCCCGGATGCTGTGGAAATTTACTAGGCGGTGACCGCCGCTCGCTCCCAACGGGGGCATCCTTCCAGATGTTTTAACGTCTCAGCTTGGGAGCAGAGCCAGATCGTAAAGTGGAAAGCGTCAGAGAGAGGAGGGAGGGAGAGAGGGAGAAAGAAAGAGGAGAGAGAGAGAGAGAGAGAGAAGGAGAGAGGGAGAAAGAAAGAGAGGGAAAGGGAGAGAAAGAGAGAGAAAGGAGAGGGAGGGAGGGAGATGGAGAGAGAGGGAGAAAGAAAGGGAGAGAGGAAGGGAGAGAAGGAGAGAGGGAGAAAGAAAGAGGGAGAGGGAGAGAGAAAGGAGAGAGGGAGAAAGAGAAAGAAAGAGAGAAAGAGGGAGAAAGAGATGGAGGGAGGTTGCCAAGGGAGATGGAGAGGGAGAAAGAAAGAGAAAAGAAAGAAAGAAAGAAAGAAAGAAAGAAAGAAAGAAAGAAAGAAAGAAAGAAAGAAAGAAAGAGAGAGAGAGACGGAGGTTGCCAAGGGATGCTCCCTTCTTCCCTGCCTCTCGATCCCCTCTTGCAGGGGACCGGAGGAGGCATGGTTTCGTGTGCAACTTGCATCCCACAGATGGGGCTTCACTTAGTTTGTGCGGCCTGGTTTCCAGCATGCTATGGCCTGATGCTGGGGTTGTGGGGACCCCTGTTCTAAGGCACGTATGGTGGACGAGTGTCGGAGTCCAGGACCTCTGAAGGGTACAAGATTGGGGGAAGGAGGTTTGACAACAAAATCAAGAGTTCTCAGTGGAGAAGACCTGGCTTAGCTTTCACGTCTCTGCCTTGAGGTTCAGTTTCCGTTGCTGATACCTCAGTGGGAAAAACGCAGCCCACGGAGTTCCCAGCGCACATAACCAGGAAGCAGGGAGCTGGGGGAAGCTTATTGCTAGCCTAGGACTTCCCATTCCGGAGTGTAAACATTCAGGCAACCACCAGTGGGCAAGGCAGATCTTTTTTTCTTGCTTCCTGATCAAGTAGCTCTAATTTTGCAGATTTTCAGGGGAGACCCTGGCCATCTTTATGCCGGCTCCTGTCTGATTGCAATCTCTTCCGAAACTCCACAAGCCCCCCATTTCTGACACTTCCCTGTGCAAAGGTAGGAAGATGCAAAAAAAAGAGACACAAAACATTCGGGATGTTGGTGCCCTCAAGCCAGTTCTCCGAGGTCTGCCTGGCGGAGGAGGAGGAGGAGGAGGAGGAGGAGGAGGGAATTCCTGATTCATTTGCATAGAATGACGCAGGTGGTTTGATGTCATGTGAACTCTTGGACCAACAACGGAGCTGTTTGTTTTGTTCCTGGAGGTTGGCACCCTCCGGAGAACTCAACAGCCAACAAGCCACTTTGATGGACTTTGGATTTATTTTGCATTTTGCACTCTGATACGGGCAGCTTTTGGCTCTTCCATGAATGTATAAAAGACTTCATAGGGACAGCTGCAACGAGGGAGCAAGCTTCTAAATAGCAGCCCCCAAGAGGAAGAAGAGACCTTGTTGGTATAATTGGATTGATCAAAGATAAATTATATATCTGCTTCCAAGTTTTACGAAGCATTAGCCACTTTCCCTGAGCGTTAAAACTTGTTTTGCAGGCTAGTGTTCTTTCAAACATATGCAGAGTGCTATCTTCCCTCGAAAATGCAGCTTGCTTGCTAGGAATTAAAATTTAGAACTTATCTGCTGCATGGCTTTCAGCCCTTAGAGGATGCACATACAGTACAGGTTGTCCTCGACCTTACAACCACAACTGTGCCCCAAAATTTCTGTTGCTAAGTGAGTTTTCCCCCATGTTACGACCTTTCTTGCCACCGTTGATAAGTGAATCACCACCGCTATTAAGTTAGCGAACCTGGCTTCCCCAATTGATTTCACTCGTCAAAAGGTTGCCAAGGGGGGAAATCACATGACCTTGTGACACAGCAACGGTCATAAGTGTGAGTCAGTTGACTTTTGATCTCGCAGTCCTGGGGATGCTAACAAGGTTGGTTGTAAGTAGGGAAAATGGTCATAAGTCTTTCTTTTCAGTGCCGTTGTGACTTTCAACGGTCACTAAATAAGTTGAGTGATGAAGATTAGACAGTCTGCTAAAGTTCATGATCTCCAGATGAGAAATTATCTCTCTTCTAGAAAGGGATCTAAATTACTTCCTTCTGTGGCTAATGGTGGAGTCAATTTTGAACTATTTCCTCTTTTTGATAAAGGCCTCAAAGTGCAACTCGTGCACAATCCAAATATTGCCATTTTTAGTCACGGACAGATAAGGCACAGAAATAAACGGTGTGTCACAGTGTTCCTGATTTATCCAAATATTGCCATTTTTTCACCTAGAAAAAGGAGGTTGTTTTTTCTCTTTAATTTTATACCCATTTTATGGACTTCAAAGCATCCTGGAACACAGTTTAACAAAAAAAATCCCAAGTGACTTTAATTTTACAAAATAATTCAAAAGCATCCGATGACAGCAAGAGATACGAGACGTTTACAAAGAGTTTTCAACCATGGAAAACTGAGCATTAGAAAGGAGCCTGAGTAGGACATTCCTAGCAAGCAGATTCCAAAGAAAAGATGGTTTATCTTCACATTTCTTTTTTTTTAAACACCTTGTTTAACTACATCCTGTACTCATGTTCAGACAACTAAAATAACCTTTGACAATTTGGCCTGGAACTTCAGAGGTCTTTACTGTTTAAATATATTTCAGATCAAAACTGCCTCTGCATTTGCCTAAAAGAAACAGGGTGGGAGAAAGCAAATTATAGTGAATATCGATAATTAGCAAGTCACAATCGAGGCATTTAACACATTAAAAAAAAAATCAAATTCCCCTGTTGCCTGCATGTATTCTGGCTTCATATTTGTTCTCGCTCGTCCCAACGTTGCTTGTGAAGTCCGTGCCTTGGTCACAGAACGTGCGCGCAAAAGAGCCTTCTGTGCTGTCTCACCTGAACTTTTTAACAATAAACATGGAAATTACCTCCATAATCCCTCGCCCAAACTTTTAACAGGAAAGTTGAACATGGGAATTACCTCCATAATCTGTTCTCCTTGCTATTTCCCCCCACTTCCCCATGATCTGAAAATATTGCCATTGTCCCGTGGAATGATCAGCAGCATTTATGGTTGGTGTGCAAGTGTAAACATACAGCTTTCAGAAAATACGTAGAAACAGAGAAAATTCCCTCCCTTCTAAAACAATATCAAAGCATAAAAGTGCTAAATAAAGAGCCCTGGGCTAGCCATCCCCCTCATCATACTAAATCAACTGCAATGCTACTGTTGGTTACTTTCACTGCGGACCGCCAACCGACTCTGTGCTCAAAATCGATATAGCGCACTCCAGACGGATAATTGTCAAAGATGTACGAAACCTACAAAGGAGAAAAACACTTGAACAGTTGGGGTCTTGGAGAAGGAGGGAATAGGAGGGGGTGGGGGTGGAAATTGCTATAAAATGCAAAATCTACCTTTGGTTGCTAGGGGTTTATTTTAATTCCTAGAACACAGCGTTGGAAGGGACCTTGTAGGTCATCTAGCCCCACCCCCTGCTTGAGCGGGAGAGTCAACTCTACACCGTTTCAGACAAAGAGATGTCCAATGTTTTGTTTTACCTCCCGCCATTCTTCCACAGTAGGCACTCGTTCTCGGACTTCAAACATCTTGCAGTAATCTTGGAGGACTTGACAATCGGCCGAGAGCAGCTTCACCGTCAGCTGGTAGTGGGAATTGTCCACATTAAAATACCTGTTTTTCCAGAGAAGAAAAAAGGGGACAGAAAGAAGCCGGCATCAGCTGGCTGCTTCCAAAGGCCATTTTGGGTCTGAAATAACGTAGATCAGAGGTCTCAAAACTTGGCAACTTGAAGACTTGTAGACCACAAGTCTTCAAGTTGCCAAATTTGAGGACCCCTGATGTAGAAGGTATCGTAGGAGGCAAAGTAAAAACCATCTCTTTGGACAGCCTAATGTTGGAAGGTAAAAAAAAAAACCAACCACCTTACTTCCAGCTTAACTTATATCCTCTAAATCAGGGGTCTTCAACCTTGGCCGCTTGAAGAATTGCAGACTTCAACTCCCAGAATTCCCCAGCCAGCCATGTCCACAAGTCTTTAAGTGGCCAAGGTTGAAGACCCCGGTTCCAGAATGATAAAACGGTCAATCTCATTTTAACCAGCTATCTTTGCTCGCTTGAGTTCTGGGCATCGGAGGTGGGTCTTCAGCCGGTTCTGAGCGGTTCTGCAGAACCGGTAGCGGAAATTTTGAGTCATTGGGAGAACCGGCCAATCCCACCTCTGACTGGCCCCGCCAACCCCATATCTCTTCTCTGCCTCCCGTTGAGTCCCAGCTGATCAGCTGGGTCTCCTTGGGTTGCCCTGCCCAGGAGAATGGAGCTGGAAAGCAGGTTAGGGTGGGTGGGGGAGGGAAAGGGGATTTTGCAGTATCCTTCCCCCTGCCACGCCCAACAAGCCACGCCCACAGCACTGGTAATAAAAAAAAATTGAATCCCACCACAGCTGGGCATGAAGAACCCAGCCCAAACCCCAAGCATATTTGGCAAGCAGTAAGGACTAGAAACTTGATTGTTCTCCCCCTTCTTACGTGAAATACAACATTTGGTGAAGCCGAGTTTTCTTCTCAAGAGAATATTTGGGGCGTTTTGAGGAAAAAGAACCCATTCATCATCATACAATTCGGTCCCATTCCCCACCCTATTTTTTGGGGTTTTTTTTGCATTCTACACAGTACTCACCAATCCTTCACAGTGATTTGGGGCTTCATTTCATCCATTACCCAGTTTGGGATCCCTTTATCCTTCAAGGTGACCCGTTGTGCCT